CCGGGGCTCGGCGTCGGGGAAGGCGCTGCCGCCGCCAGGGGGCGGCACGGCGGACACCTCCATGGGCGAGGAGCCGTCGGGGCAGCAGCTCCGCGAGCCCTCCAGGGGGTACATCCCCTCGGCTAAAGGCACAGTGTACTGGATGTAGTCCTGAGGCACGAGTCCGAGGACGACGGGCACGCGCTCGTCCAGGTGCAGGTGCAGCTCGGCGCCCGGCGCCGCCGCGCTCTTGAGCGGGCCGCCCTGCTCCGCGCACACGGCGTCGGGCGGCAGCTCGCGCAGGTCCTTGCGCAGCCCGTTCAGCGCGGGGCTGGGGCTGGAGGAGTGCACCAGCGCCTTGACCCGCACCTCCATCTTGATGCACGTCTCCTCCGACGTGGTGGGCCGCAGCGGCCACGGCGTCGGGCTGTAGTGGTGGCTGCGCAGCGACGTGGAGCGCATGGGCCTCTGGGCGCGCACGTCTTTGAAGACGAGCGGGGCGGAGGCGGAGGAGAAGGTGTCCTCGTCGCCCGAGCCGCCGGCCGGCGCGGGGCCCTTGCCCCTCTGCTTCTGCTTGGCGGAAAGCCGCCTCTTCAGCGTGCCCATGAGGCTCTCGCTCTTGGACCGGTTTTTCCCACTCTTCTCGTCTTCGCTGGTGATGTCGCAGCTGGCCATATCTTTACCGTAGCAGCTACCGAACAAGGAATCATCCTTCCCAAAGTCACCGGCCAGGGAGGGCTGTTGCACGACCATGAAATCCGTTTCCTCTTTACTTTTATTCAGGTTAAAAGATTTCCGGAAGGTTTTAAGACTAATTTTCTTCATTATGACTGGTCACCTAATCCAGGGGCTCAATTTCGCTCTGGGGTGTTGCCGCCGAACATCTGAAGAGGCTGCAAGGCCGCATCTACGGGCTTTTCCGGGTTCCTTTAACCTCTGGAGCCATTTTCTGAAGGGGGAAAAAAAAAGTGTTAAAAAATATTCCCACAAGGTTTGCTTCACTCACAGTTTTAATCCTTTAACTTTGGAGAAATGACACCTGAGTGTTTTCTTAGGAATCTAAGCTCTGTGAGCAAAGGGGACTTGTTTTGATTGCCACTCAGCACAGCACCACCTGCTATGTCGCAATAAATACTAAGTACTTGGTAATACAGAAAAACCCCTAACCTGCTTTTTCTGTCTTGCACCTCACTTTTTGTTTCATCCTCAGCGTAAGGGTCAGCGTCCCCCTCTTTCCTGACTCCATCCTGCAGAGGCCACGCCTGCCGTCAGCAATGAGCCACAGGCTTCCAGTTCGCTGCCCACCCCCACTGGTTGAGGTCCCAACCAACAGGGAAACATAAGAGTGAAACACAGACACCAGGGCAACTGGCAGAACCACAAGCATAGTCAACACCTCAGAAGTTCAAACACACTTTAAAATATTTAAAGATCTACAGGAATGAATACAAAGAGATCTACCATCTCATGAGCTCTTGGAAAAAGCCCAGACCATTTCCGTGGAGATCCACCACTCGTCCCTCAATCTGTCGTCCTGTGGTGGCCTGTGTGTTGCTGTGATGGTACAAGCCAGGCCGCCAGTATTTCACACACCAGCAGGGTCATCCAGGGTGGGCAGGTGCCAGCAGGGCTTCCACCCTATGACAGACTAGAAAGGAAGACCGGTGATCTATTTACAAACGAGATTAGCCAGTGAAAGCCTTATGGTGAGCAGAACACTGTCTCACATAGTTCTGCAAGACGAGCCCCTCAGGCTGGAAGGAACTCAAAACAGGAGTGGGGAAGAGCTGCCCCCTCAAAGTAGAGTTGACCTTAACGATAAGGATGGAGTCAAGTTTTCAGGACCTTCATCTGCTAATGTGCCATGATTCAAACAGCTGCAAACATCCATCAGAAACTGGAATGTGGAATGTACAAAGTATAAAAAAGGAAAACTGGAAATTGTCAAAAATGAAATGGAACACTTGAAGGTAGATATCGTAGGTATTGTTGTTGTTGTTGTTTGCCATTGAGTCGGCCCCAACTTATAGCGACCCCTCCTTGGGTTTCCGAGGCAGTTATCACTATGGAAGTAGGAATGCCCAACCTTCCTTCCGAGGAGTGGCTGGTGGGTTTGAACCGCCAGCCTTCTGGTTAGCAGTCAAGTGCCTTAGCCACTATGCTACCAGAGCTAGGTATCAGTGAGGTCAAATGGATTAGTATTGGCCATTTTGAATGAGACAGTCCAATGGGCTATTATGGTCTATGATGCCAAGAACAACAAATTGAGCAGGAACAGTGTCAGATTCACCCTCAAAAAGAACATTTCCAGACCTGTCCTGAAGTACAATTATTGACAGGATAATATCGATACGCCTGTGAGGAAGCTCAATTTATACACTTATTATTCAAACTCATGCACCATGCACTAATGCTTAAGATGAAGAAACTGAATTTTTTTTTTTTTTTTAACCAGCTTCTGTACTTTTGAAATCAATAAAATATGCAATCAAGATGCATTGGCAATTACCAATGATTGGAATACAAAAGTTGGAAACAAAGATCAGCAGCTGGAAAATTTGGCCTTGGTGATAGAAATGACACCAAAGATAACATGATAGAAGACCAACAACTTATTCATTGGAAATACCTTTATTCAACAACATAAACAAAAATTATACATATGGACGTCATTGGATAGAACACATACAAATCAAATTACTACATCTGTGCAAAGTGATGGTGGAGAAGCTCACTATCATCAATCAGTCAGAACAACGCCAAGGGCTGACTGATTAAAATGTCATCATTGTTCATATGCAAGTTCAAGTTGAAGCTGAAGACAATTAAAACAAGTCCACAGGAGCCAAAATACAATCTTGATTATATCCCACCTGAATTTAGAGACCATCTGAAGAATAGATATGACTCGTTGAACACTGATGACCAAAGTCCAGACAAAATGTGTGATGATATCAAGGGCATCATCCATGAAGAAAGCAAAAGGTCATTAAAAAGACAGGCAAGGAAAGAAAGACCAAAATGGATGTCAAAAGAGATTCTGAAACTTGCTCTTGAACGTAGAGTAGTAGCTAAAGCAAATGGAAGAAAAGATGAAGTAAAAGAGCAGAACAGATTGCAAAGGGTGGCTCGAGAAGGCAAAGTATTATAATGAAGTGGTCAAAGACCTGGAATTAGAAAACCAAAAGGAAAGAACATGCTCAGCATTTCTCAAGCTGAAAGACCTGAAGAAAAAATTCAAGCCACAAGTTAAAGTACTGAAGGATTCTATGAGCAAAGAATTAAACGACACAGGAAACATCAAAAGGTGGAAGGCATAGAGTCCCTGTACCAAAAAGAATTAGTCGACGCTCAGTCATTTCAGGAGATAGCATATGATGAAGAACTAATGGTACTGAAGGAAGAAGTCCAAGCTGCAATAAAGGTACTGGCAAAAAACAAGCCTCCAGGAATTGACAAAACACCCATTAAGATACTTTAAGAAACAGATGCAATGCTGGGAATGCTCACCCATTTATGCCAAGAAATTTGGAAGATAGCTACCTGGCCAAACAACTGGAAGAGATGATATTTGTGACCATTCCAAAAAGGTGATCCAACAGAATGCAGAAACAACAACAAACAACATCATTAATATCACACGCAAGCAAATTTTCCTTTATAAAATTCAAAAAGTGCACTGCTCTAGTCGTACATCAACAAGAAACAGTCAGAAATACAAGTGGGATTCAGTAGAGGTCACAGAACAAGGGATATCGTTCCTGACCTCAGATGGATCTTCACCGAAAGCACAGAATACCAGAAAGATACTTACCTGTGCAAAAGCATTCAACTGTATGCATCATATCAAATTATGGGCAACATAATGAAGAAAGGGACTTCCAGAACACAATCTTTCTCATGTGGAACCTGTACACAGACAAACAGGACTGCCAGAAGAACAAACAAATCTGTCCTGGAAGCGAGGCTGGTAAGACTTTGTCACATGTATTTTAGACATGTTATCAGGAGGGACCAATCCCTGGAGGACATCATCCTTGAGAAAGTAGAGGGTCAGTGAAAAAGAGGAAGACCCTCAACAAGACAGTGAGACAGTGGTTGCAACAATGAGCTCGAGTATTTCAGGATGGCACAGCCCCAAGGAACATTTCATTCTGTTATACACAGGGTCACTGTGAGTCAGAACTGACTCGATGGCACCTAACCACAGCTCTTCAATTTCTTAGGAATACAGTCATTCACCTTCACAACCCAAGTCCCCAGCATTGTACCTAGGAGAGGAGAGAAGAGCTGAACCACTGCCGGTTGAGTAACATTTATCTCTATGGTGGACCCATAACAACCAGGTAGTTAGTTTAGATCTATTTGGGAAATGGAAGCGTATTTCTACCATCATCATACCATCACTTCTACTGTTACCACAGTTCTTCCTCCATTTCCTTTATTTGAAATTTCCCATAGCAAGCTTTTTTCATACTCTTCCATTATTGAAACGATAGGACTTGGATTGAGTAAAAATTTTCTAGAAGTCATTTCAGAGGAAAAACAAATTGGTCCCATAAATGGTATGAATTGATTATAATAATAATGCTTCACAAAAGAAAAAAGAAATCCTGTTTCAACTAGATAAATTTTATTTCCTGTTCATGAAAATCTACACAATGCATGCTCATATTCTTTTATATAAAGTATAAAGTTTTCAAAAGGTTGGAAAGCTTTGTTTCAAATTCCACTGCTACTAAACAATATTTCAGACGAACATCACCTTATAATATTAGAAGTGTACAAGAGTATGGGTATGTTTACAGAATATTTGTGCATAAAGAAACTGTACCACATACAGAAGCAAATCTGTGTGAATGGAAACCCTGCATATGGCAGGAGGCAAACCAATGGGAAAGAGCACTATTTAATAGATAGTGCAAAGCCAGTGGGTTACAGATCTGAGAAAAGAATACAAGGACATCCCACACGTCACACAATTGACAGATTACAGGTAGATTTAATACCTAAATGTGAAACGCAAAGTTTTGTTAGAATAAAATATAGAGTATCATCCTATCTTTGGAAAAGGGACCAAAAAAAGCATAAATAGCAATGCTTCAGCTCAAAAGACCCCACAAAGTGAGAGTTGGGTCTGAGACCTCACCTGGCCATGGCTTCTGTGGAGCTCCTGAAACATGACGACGTCAGCATACCAAAAGCCCCACTGATTGCTCATGAGGGGGTAAAGTTAAGTATACTTCTTCATAATGGTAGAAACTGCACTTACTTGTCCTAACAGGCTGAAAATGGTGACCTGACACTAATAACCTCCTTGGGTTGAGTTTTAATTTTCTGTCTCATTAGCAATGAACCTAATTTTGTCCACCAAAAATACAGTGACATCAATTCACAGTCAGAATAAAAAGACTTAATTACCAGTAGCCATAAAACTAACCACCACTCACCTGTCAGTTTCTCATGTACTGTGCTGGTTTGTGCGTTGCTGTAAGACAGGAAGCTATGTCACCAGCACTGCAAACACCAGCAGGGTCACCCATGGGGGACAGGTTTCAGCAGAGCTTCCACACTAAGACAGACTAGGAACAAGGACATGGCCAGGTCTACTTCTGAAAAAACTGGCCATTGAAAACCTTATGAATAGCAGGGAAATACTGTCTGATACAGGGCCCGAAGATGAGCCCCTCAGGTTGGAAGACATTCAAAATATGACTGTGGAAGAGCTGCCTCCTCAAAGTAGAGTCGACCTTAATCGGATGGAGTAAAGCTTTTGGGACCTTCATTTGCAGATGGGGCATGACTCAACATGGGAAGAAAGAACT